CTTTTGTGTTTCATATTGTAAAAAGAAAAAAAAATACCTTAAACGTCTTAGTATTTAATTACTATACAAACCTTTCATACTCATACTTCCTCCATGAAGAAAGAAACAGAAAAAGGAAGACACCATTTCAAAAGATTTATGGCTTTAATCGCAGGCCCATAATAAATAAGGACAACAAAGACACAGTTTCAGAATCGTTTTAATTGCATGATAAGTAGGAAAGAAAGCGACACCGTTTCAAAATTCTAAATTCAAAACTCCTAACTTTTCAACTTCCACAATTTAAAGGTAAAACCATCCTTCACTAATGAAAAATGGGAAAATTGTCCTAACCTTTTCACTCTCTTTTTAGCTTTTGATCTCCAATTCTCTGTAATGCTTTTCCGATTTTGACACTGCGCTACTCTTTCACCCAAAGAATTATGTGACGACCCGGCTAGTCGTCTCATGAGTTACCGCTCTGTTTCCCCCATTTCTGCTTCTTTATGCTTCGTTATTCGTGTTTTGTGGTATCGGGTTGGTCGGATCGAGTCCGGAATGATTTTTGATAAGGTTTGAGACACTTAGTCTCTTTCAAGGAAGCTTAAGTTGGAAAAAGTCAACCGGATGTTGACTTATGTGTTAGGAGGCTCGGATGTGAGTTCCGTTGGTTCGGTTAGCTTCGGGAGGTGATTTGTGACTTAGGAGTGTGATTGGAATGAGTTTTGGAGGTTCGGAGTAGAATTTGGATTGAATTGGCAAAGTTGATATTTTGGCGATTTCCGGTTGGTAGGTGAGATTTTGATCCGAGGGTCGGAATGGAATTCCGAGAGTTGCAGTAGCCTTGTTATGTCATTAGGGATGTGTGTGCAAAATTTCAGGTCATTCGGACGTGGTTTGGTTGGATTTTTGATCAAAAACGGAATTTGGAAGTTCTTGAAATTCTTAGGCTTGAATCTGATGCAAATTTGGTGTTTTAATGTTGTTTTGAGCGTTCCGAAGGTTGGAACAAGTTTGAATAATGTTATGATATATGTTGGCGTGTTTGGTTGAGGTCCTGAGGGCCTCGGGTGTGTTTCGGGGTGGTTTCGAATCATTTCGGGCTGTTTTGCAATAGCTGAAGCTGGTATCTGGTATTGTTCTTCGCGTCCGCGAGGGTCCCCTCGTGTTCGCGAATAAGGATTTGGCTTCTGGGATTTTGTTCTTCGCGTTCGCGAAGAGAGCCTCGCGTTCGCGAAGAAGAAGAAATTCTATTGCGCAGGTCTTACTTCGGAGGCTCGGATCTCTCAATCTACAATGAATTTTGAGATGATTCAAAAACGAAAGTTGTAGCTCTTTGAATCTAGTTTCCAGAACATATTATAATAGTTATTTGGACATCTGAAGCAAAAGTTACGGCCATTATACTAGAGGCTGTCCGAGAAGAGTTTGAAAAATAATTTTTGGAAATTTTGTTCTCCGCGAACGCGAGAAGAGGACCGCGAACGCGAAGAACAAATCCCTGGGCAGCGGAATAAAGTCCAAACTCATCTCACTCTTCCATTTTTGGGCCAAGGGAGCTCGGGTGAGGCGATTTTTCGAGAGATTTTCAAGAAAAACATAGGGGTAAGTGTTCTTAACTCAATTTTGGTTAGATTACCCGAATCCATTGTTATTTTTAACATGTAATTGGTGATTTTAAGTTGGAAAAGTTTGAAAACCCTCTTGAATATATTTGAGGATTTGAGGGTCGAAATGTTATCGGAAATTAGTAATTTTGGTATGGTTAGACTCGTGGTTGAATGGGTTGTCAGATTTTGTGAGTTCCATCGGATTTCGAGACGTGGGCCCCACGGGCAATTTTGAGTTAAATTTCAGATTTTGTTGGAAAAATAGTATTTTCATATGGAATTAATTCCTATAATTAGTGTTGACTGAATCGAATTAACTGTGACTAGATTCGGGTCGATTGGAGGCCGATTCAAGGGGCAATGACATTTCAAAGTAGGATTTTGCTCGGATTGAGGTGAGTAATGATTGTAAATGATACTCTAAGGGTTTGAAACCCCGGATTGCACATCGTAGTGCTATATTGAGGTGAGACACGCGCTTGATGATGAGCGTGGGGTCGTTTACTGTTGGGGATTGTGACTTGGTCCGTCCCGATTGATGATTTTACCGCGTATTTGACTGAAACTTATTTGTTATCATCATGATTTGGGCTGATTGTCATATTTAGGCTTCGTGCCAACTATTTGAACTCTTCGGGGATTTTTATCACTATTTCTTCACTGTATTGACTTATTACTTGAACTCAGTCATGTTGTTTCCACTGTTTTACAACTCAGCCACTTTTACTCAGATTTGAGACTTAAACGATATTTTTAAATGATATTTTGGGCTGAGAACTACTGTTTTACTAATGCCCGAGGGGCTTGTGATGATTTTCTGACTGAGTGTGGCCGAGGGCCAGATGTGAGGATACACTGAGTGATATGAGGCCGAGGGCCTGAGATACATTTATACGCCACGAGGTGGCTTGAGTGATGTGAGGCCGAGAGCCAAGAGTTGATGCCACGAGGTGGCTTGATATAGCGCTTGGGCCGTAAGGGGCCCCTCCGGAGTTTGCACACCCACAGTGAGCACGGGTACCCATTGTGATCTTGAGAGTGAACCCGAGGGGCTGATATTGTTCTGAGAGTGAGCCCGAGGGGCTGATATTGTTCTGAGAGTGAGCCCGAGGGGCTGATATTGTTCTAAGAGTGAGCCCGAGGGGCTGATATTGTCATGAGAGTGAGCCCGAGGGGCTGGTACTGTTCTGAGATATTGCCCGAGGGGCGAACCTTTATGTGTTCATCTTTCATATTTACTTGTCATTTTACCTGTTAAACTGTGATAATTGTGCCCGAGGGGCGGATTTTCTGTACTTATCGGCACTAGCTGTTTTGCATTCATTTGCGTAACCGATGAAAAAGTCATTTTCAAAAGAGGTTTAACTGAGCTAAGATGTTTCTAAAGATTTCACAGCTTCACTGCTTTTCTCAAAAGGTTTTACACTGCTTCTATACATCATGTTGATTTGCTTTACTTACTGCTCAGTAGTTATTTACCTTTATTACTCACTGAGTTGGAGTACTCACTTTACTCCCTGCACCTTGTGTGCAGATGCAGGTATTTATACATTCGGTAGCGGGTTTTGGCTGATCAGCGGCAGAGTTATCGGAGTTTAGCGAGGTGGCTGCCAGTGTTCGCAGCACCGCTTTTCTCCCTTTTCGTGTACCCCACAATTACTAAATTATTTCCAAAAATTATTTCTAGCGAGGTGGCTGCCAGTCATTTTCAAAAATTATTTCCAATCCATAATATTGTACCCCACAATTACTAAAATTATCACATGTAAATAGTGTCACATATATAGTTAATATAATAGACCAGTGAGGAGAGGTCATTTATATCTAAATTCTAACACAAAGTCATCTACACGTATGATAATAACTAGTTTCAGTGTACGTGTGTTGCACATGCGTATAGAGTCTATCAATTAAAATTATATACATTGACTTTAAAATGAAATGCAATATTTGTTTAAAGGATAAAAATAATTTTTCTCATAGTAATTGTATTAAATATCTTCTGAATATGCATAGATGATGAATTTAGTTAAATTAGTTGTATATTATTTTGTAATTATACATATCTTTAATATGATTTACAAATATGTTAAAGTCCATCTCACCTCAAATCTCTTTATGAATACTTTTTGGCTTCTATATTTCGTCCTTATTTCTTAAAGTTTGTATTTAACCAATTCAATTCTTAACACTACCATTGATTTACTTTTATATTTAGATTCTTTTATCACTAATTTTACTTATATGATGAATTTAGAAAGGAATGAAATTAGATTATCTTTCTAGTTAGTTAATTCAAATCCGAGAAAAAAGTCAATTCAAATACTTAATCATCCTTTTTAACCACTAATAGAAATAATTTATTTTTTGAGGATTTAAATTATTACTATTAGCTCATAGTCATAAAATAAATACTGTATTTAATTATAACTATATATTTATCCGCAAAAATTCTTTTGTCAAATGATAAAAAAACCAAATGTTTGCACTTTATGTTTGCACTTTTGTCAATCACTTTTCTCTCTCTCTCTATTATTAAATATTTTCGTAATTATTTTTCTAATTAAGTTTTAAAATCTATATTAATATTTATATCTAAGTAAATTATTGATCGAAGAATAAAATTAATAGCCAATGGACCAATCTCACATAGAATACACATAGCATTGATAGGTTAATTACTGATTTATTTTTATCATAATTGTTCACCTTAAAATTTAGTATGATATACAATTTATTTTAAGCTAAAAAACGTTCAATTGTATAAAATTCATATATAAGGTAAAACATATAAATATTTGATGCTATTTAATTATACTTTAATTAAATTCATATAAAATAAAACTTTAATAATTTTGAAGTCCTAAATATAAGGACCTCTTGCTTAATTCAAATAAGGAAAGGTATAATAAGAAATAAATATTATTTAATATCAAACTCCTAAATATTAGGTAGAAGAATAATCAAATGACTATTTTGTCTAGTGTGAATTTTATTTAAAAAGGGCAAAAAAGGCGAATGACATTTCGCTAAGGGCCTTCGTGCTTTTAATATAGTATAGATATAGATGTGCGCGTGGGTGCATTTATATGTAGATGTTCCTATTTCCAAAGAATATAAAGATACAAACTTTGAAGAAACACGACTGGAGAAGCAAAATAAACCGATTACTAAATATTTTATTAGCTAGAGTATGAAAAGGGAGGCGTGTTTTGTGCCGTCGCTTATAATTGACTCTTTACCTTTTACTGCATTTTATAAAATATTTGTTTATGTGAATTTGGGATATATTTATAATTTACCATCATCGTAGCAAAACATCTTGAATGCATCTTTTGTCATCCTAATAAGTCATCATTCGACGATTCATATTCATCCTTCACAGAAATTTGTGTTTTACTCTTCTAAATATATTTACTTACTCAAAGACTTATTTTAATAATATTAATGTTGTTTTACAAAAATTATATATATTACATGGCTCGGCATACACGTGCACGTGCCGGAAACTAGTAAGTAGTATTTATAAGTGGCAGGTGTAGCATGTGCACTGTGCAAGAAAGGCTTCTGATGTCAAATCTTAGTCCAGGATTTTCCATATACAAGGAAATAATCTCCATCCAGTTTCAGCCAAATGCAATTGCCCTTGCCAATCATGACACTGAAACACATATAAGAAAGTTTTTTACAGCCTACGATTTCGACAAGGTCCATGCTGTTTGTTTCAACCATGAATCTGAAACACAGGAAATAGTAAAAGGTTAGTTTTTGCACACATATCCTTCTTGGAGAATGGAGAAGCAGGTCATAAGTAGCCACTGGAAAAAGAGATGCTTTAGGATAAAGCAAGACCTATTAAGATGAACAGAGATTGCTAAAGACATTTTAAGAGCCAATGAGGCACTCTTTGCTGGTATAAGATTCATTATATAGCAGTCTTTTGCAACTTTCTTTGTTGAAATCCTTCAATCGCGACTTAGGATTGTTCCTTGAGAGTTTTCAATTTAAAAAGAACAGTACAAAAGAGATGGAGGTAAATAGGATGTTTTTTTTCCTTTTAAGCCATAACCATCACCCAGGGAAAGGTTCCTGTGGTGTTGGGGGGTTTGGCTTGACCCGTACCATGTATATAGAAGGTAAAGATGACAAAAGAAGGGGGGCATAGACCTGAACTTCGTATACACAAGACTGTTGCAAAGACAATCTTCAAAAAACCCATGGAAGATAGAGAAATATACAACTACTCTTCCATGAGAAAAACTAAATGAATTAGCTTAAAAAAAGTTAGCTTTATCATACCTACTTCTTATACTAGGCAATTTCCATTTATCCAGTAGGAAAGGACCTCTAGCTTTTTTAGGGAGATTCTGAAAATAGTAGAAATAGGAACTGCTTCCAGTGATTGCAGCTCTTTCGGCTAAAGCGTCAGCCACCTGATTGGCTTCTCTATAGCAGTGAGAGACCACAACTTCTGCATGGTTGATACTTCTTTTGGCATCTCTGATGATCTGCTTCATCTTTGCATTGTTGGTACATCCTTCTGTAATTATGTTGGCCACAATCAGAGAATCAAGCTCTAGATGAAATCTGGTGTAGCCTAGCTGTATACACCGTTCTCCACCAAGTTTAACTGCTACAGCTTCTGCCTCATTGTTGCTTTTACATTGAACAGGTGTTGAGAAAGCCGTGAGGAGATCTCCATTCGAGTCTCTTATTATCCCTCCTATACCTGTTCTCCGAGTATACTATTTACATTGAACAGGTAAATAGGATGCTTTAAAAGCAGCATTTAGGGGGTAAAGAAAATCTATTGCAGAGAAAAAAAAAGCATTGATCCAAAGCCACTATTTGCAATCTTTTATGAACAAAAGCTAACTTACCTAATTTCCCAGCTTTGTGCAATCACAGTCTCCAAAGACACCACTCTGCACAATGTTCCAATCTGTGCCCTGAAAATTAAATAGGAAAAAGGAAATACTGTTGAAGACAGTGAACATAATTTGGAGAAGCCTCTGCTATCATGAAACTTCACATGTTGGTCCAAAATGAAATCTGTCTTGCACCTAAGAGTCCATTGTCAGTGGCTTTTAAAATATGAATATTAACATGGGAAGAGGGTCATTTTTCTTTTTTGCCTCTCAACATTTCTCCTTCTCTTATGCAAGAGCAGCTGATTATACCAATCATGACAAACCAATGTTATGCCAATCAAATACTTCACTTTCCTAAAGAGCAAAGTGCCGAAAGGAAAGCATAGATGCAATTCACTGATAACTTTGCATCTTTCTTGAATTGCAAGAAAAAAGGATTGAATTAATATAAAACTTTTTTCGTGTATTAGTTTGGGGAACAAAAAGTTTGGAAAAACTAAAGGAGAGAAGGTAAATGGAGGAGAGAAGAAAACAAATTGACTCAGAAACTGAAAGTGAAATAGATACTTAGTTCTGAATTCTTTACCCTATGTAAATTTCTGGAATATGGGAAATCTTGGACCACTGGGACTTTGGGCCACTCTGATTGCTGCAACTTTCTTCTAACAGTGGGCAGTCTTCAATTACCAGCTACACTAATTTGGTGAGGCGTCGCATAGCATCTCCAGATGGCAGATGCTGTAGTTTTTCACAGTTCAATAAAACTAACTCTTCTATAGAAACAAGGTTGACGAGCCCATCTGGTAGAGCTTCTAACAATGGACAATCATCGATCTCCAGATTCCGTAATTTGGGCATGTCATCTAAGAAGTCCAGATGCTGAGCCGTTTGCACTTCACTAGTCCAATTTTAACACGTCACTTGTTCATGTTTACTAATACAAACTCGAAAAAGCTCACTGGTACAAGAAACTTAAAATCAAAATACACTTAAATCAATGGTTTGAAAATAATCAAGTTGATTATCAAATTAAACTAAATCCACTTCCTTTTCCTTTTCACATACCCAAAAAAGCACCATAGTTAACACAACTGCAAATCATCATCTATGACGTTTCGTCATAGGAATCAAAGAGCAGCTCATCGAATCAATCAAAGAGTGAAATGGCGTTCGTTCTGAAGTGTGAGTAAATAAGTGCTAAAAGTTTAAACTGTTTGGTGGAGACAAAAATTTCTGTTTATAAGAAGAGGCCGGTGTAGCATGTACACTGTGCACGAAAGGCCTCTGATATCAAATCTTAGTCCAGAATTTTCCACATACAAAGAAATAATGTCTCTAATCCAGCTTCAGCCAAGTGCAAATTTAAGGGGGGAAAAAAACAGCCCGGTGCTCGCGATCGCGCAGAATCCGTAGAAGGGCCGCACCCTATAAGAATTGCAATTTCCCTTCCCAATCATGACACTATCACATCTAAGAGAAGTCTTTACCAGTCTACCGTTTTGACAAAGTCCATGCTGTTGTTTCAACCATGAATCTGAAACACAGGAAATGATAAAAAGTCAGTTTTGGCAAACATTTCATTCCAGGAGAATGGAGAAGCAGATCATTACAAGTGGCAACCGAAAAAAAGACGCTATAGGAGAAGCAAGACCTGTTAAGATGAACTGCTAAGGGCGTTTTAAGAGCCAATAAAGCACTCTTTGCTGTAAGATTCATGACGTAGCAGTCTTTTTTTTTTTTTAATTGTTAATTCATGGAATAGCTGTCTTTTGTAACTTTCTTTGTTGAAATCCTTCGATCGTGAAGGTTTTAACGAAAGGAGAAATTATAGTAACAACAAGCATTTGGCATACATATATAGTTATACTGTCTAAAGCATGAAATAAAATCCAACATAAAGATTATTCTTTTATGAGTATATTAAGAAACTTTATATGGATTTCTACAACATATGAGACTTGGGATTGTTCCTTGAGAAAGGTAAAAGAGATAGGTAAGGAGGATGATTTTAAAGCAGCATTTAGGGTAAAAAAGAAAAACTATTTCAGAGAAAAAAGTATTGATCTAAAGCCACCATTTGCAATCTTTTATGAACAAAAACTTACCTTGAATTTGAGCTTTGTGCCATCATAGTCTCCAAAGGCACCACTGTGCATAATCTTCCAATCTGTCCCCTGAAAATTAAATAGGAAAAAGGAAATACTGTTGAAGACAAATATGGAGAAGTTTCTACTATCAATGGAAATCACTCGTCGGTCCAAAATGAAAGTTGTCTTGCATCCAAGAATTCCATGTCAACGCTTTCAAGTGACAAGAGGGTCATTTTTTCCCTATCTACATTTCTCCTTCTCTTATGCAGAAGAAACTGATTATACCAGTCATGACATCTAAATTCAGTGACAATTTATTTGAGCTACAACTCATGAATAGCTTATAAACAGATTTCAATGGCACCAACCAACCATACCCTTTATTATCTTCCCCATACCACTTGAATAGATAGAGAGGTTCTTCTTTTGTACAGGTTGAGAGAGAGGAGGGTCAGACTAAATGATAAACTGAAGAAGTAAATAATTTATCTGGTCCAAATGCCAATACTCATTTATAAGCTTTAAAATCCTACACGGATTATCTGTGCATAAAATAACTTCAAAAACAAGCTAATATATTTCCTATTACAAGGAATAAAAGCAGTTGCCAAAAGAAAAGAGAAAAGATAGAAAAGAAGACCAATGAGCCAAAAACAAAAAGAGGTTTTTATTTTGCAACAAGCAGTTGAAGTATACATATTCATCATTTGATGCATTCTTTAGCAGAAATACTTAAAATAGGAGGGAGATAAAGTATGCATATATGGAGCTCTTTGAACCATAAAGAGACGAGATTGTTCCTTTCATTTGAGAGATTCTGTAGTCTTTACCAAATAATCATGAAAGAGTCCAGTAAATATTCTACAGGCGAAGATTCTGTCCTCAACAAAATTCAGACCAGAGCGCGCAACAAATTAGACAACTCACCACATATTCCATGCTCAGGAGAGAGTGCTACAGCAACCTTGTAGCATGATATTTGATCTAGTCACCTATGAGAAACAACACAAAATTTTAATAATTAAACCACAACTTTAAAGAAATATATATATATATTCTTTGTTTGATGAGAATTTGAAGAACAACAATTGGTTCGAACCGGTCCAACAATTTCAATTGGAAGAATGCTGAAGGGAAAGCACAGATCTAATTCACTGATAATTTTGCATTTTGCTTAATGTCAACTAATTACAAGAAAAATGATTGATTTCGTTATTAAAAAAAATTGATAAGGAAGATTGAATTTTTTTTTTAAAATTTTCTTTTTGATTTGGAAGGAAAAGGATTGAATTAATGTAACACTGGTATGGGAATGTAGACATTCCTGGTTTGATGAAAGTGTTTGATAATAGGTGAATTTGACTATAATCACGCACCGAATAACCACCTTCTTGTGAACTTTAATGTGGAAAAATGACAACAAAATGCTCTTATTGGTACTTTTCATGATTTGCAGGTGATATAGGTGTAAGGAAAGCTAAGGAGCAGTTTGGAGTCAACTATTGATGAAAAAAAAGCTAATTGTTGCATTTCCCAAGTGACCCATTCAAAACAGGCCAAATTGCCCGGATACAGGGTCTACCGCGGTTCCACCGCGACCGCGGTGAAACCGCGGTGGAAGGTAGTCTCTGAACAATTGAAGATCCGCGAGGGTATTTTACCGCGGTTCTACCGCGATCGCGGTAGAACCGCGGTGGACACAGAAACTTCGGGGACCAAAGTGTAAAACACGGGATTTTTAGACCTAAACCCTATTTTAAACACTAGACTTCGCCCAAGAGAGGCAGAGATTGATTTTTTAGGTTTCTTAGCAAGGAGAACAATTGTGAAAAAGTACTCTAAACATCTTTCTTCTTTTCTTTTGATTTTATGATGAATTCAAGTTTAGTTTATTCTCCCATAACTATGAGTAGCTAAATTTCTTGTCTAAGGCTTTGATGGAACCTATTGGGTGATGAACTTCTTGTTTATGTGAATACAAATTGCTAGTTTAATCTTTATTTGTTCAACTTCGTGTTCGTTGTAGTTAATTGACAGGATCCTCAATTAGCTGTGCCTATTTAGTGTGCATAACTTGGAAAAGAGTGCATATTTAGGGTTTTGTTGAACAACACCACTCCTAGATTATTAGAGGAATCTATAATTGCGGGTTTAAAGGCGGGATTAGGAATAACGAAGCCTTGGGTGCAATCTAAAGTGAATTGTGCTAAATAAAGCAAGCTAGTGTATCTCGGAAGAGTGCAATAGTAGATTACTGTGATTACTCGGGAGAGATTTGCGGTAAGATTAGGGTTCATGATTGATAGAGGTGTGTGGGTGAATTTGTATGAGCATAAACAGAAGGGATTCCATCAATAGGGGAAATCATTGCCTTAGCTTTTTCTCATAATTGTTTACAATCCTTTTTATTAGTTATAGCATTGTAGTTACTTGAAAGTTAGTTAGTAAAGAACACTCAATTGAGAATTTAAATATTTGGGAAGCTGATTCTGAAGACTTGGTGGGTCTGAAGGTTGCAACTGATAGGTTAACTCTCTGTGGGATATCGACTCCGGACTTGTAAACCGGATTATATTTGCAGCGACCGCATTGTCCTTTTTATAAGGCATAGTTGGGCGTGATCAGTGTTAGAAGAACAACAAGGGGTTTCAAGTGAGAGAGCAAAATGCTGAAAGGAAAGCACAAATGCAATTCACTAATAACTTTTGCATTTTTCTTGATGGTCAAAAATTGTAATGTTTGTAACATGTATTGAGAAAAAGGATTAAATTAATATAAAACTTTTTTAGTTTGGAAAAGAATAAAGGAGCAAAAGGAGAGGAACAATTGAAAAAGAAGAAAATTGAGTCAGAAACTGAAATAAAAACAGAGACTTACTTAAGTTCTGAATGTTAGTCCAATTAATGTCAATTACTTTAATATGGGAAATGTTGGACCACTGGGAGTTTGGGGCACTCCGATTGGTGCAACTTTCTTCTAGCTGTGGGCATCCATTAATTTGTAGTTTTTCACAGCCCCACAAAATTAACTCTTCCAAAGAAACAAAGGTTGACGAGCCGACCCGACCCGACAGAGCTTCTAACAATGGAGAATTAAAGATGTTCAGTCTCCGTAATTTGGGCATGACACCTGAGAAGTCCACATGTTGTAGCCGTTGGCAGCTGTGAAGCACTAAACTTTCAAGAGAAGTAAGGTTGTCAAGGCTCTGAGGAAGGGACTCGATTCCGAAATCAAATATGCACGTCCGTACACCCACAATGGACGATAGGTGCTGAATGCCATTAAACATCAATTGGAATGCCTCAAAATCCACCAACACTGAGAAAGGACCTATATACAAATACCTTAACCCAGTGAGATGGCGAAGCCCCCCTGCGGGTACACTTGGGACATTCTGATATACTTAAATATGAAAGTGAAGGCATTTGTAAAGGCAAGGAAACTAAGTTGTTGCAGCCGCTGACGGTCAAAGATTCCAGAGACCGACAATGCTCTAGCATTCCACTTGGTAAACTGGTCAAATGATTCTCTCCACTGGGAACAGGAACGGAACTGAAATTGTTGCACCCAATAATCTCTAAGCTCTTAAGAGAATGGAGATTGTACAAACTTTGTGGCAATTCACGAAACTTTTCGCAACTTGAGACATATAGATGTTGAAGGGAAAAACTGTTGTTGTGTAACAACATCTCATCTGGAAGACAAGTGAGCTCTTTCACATCATAGACACTAATCTCTACAAGAGATGTCAAGTTGCTGCACAAGGTCAACAATGGCACTTCAAATTGATTTGGAGTACTTTTTAACCGCTGACAGTTGCGAATGCTCAACTTCTCAAGCGCAGGAAACATTCTTACTCCAACTCTGTCTCGACCGCCATTTCTTGTTGGTATCAATTCCATTCCCTTCCACTCAATGAGGCTAGGCATGCTGAGCAATACCAGCTTTTTAAGTGATGGGAACACTTTGATATTGGCATTATTGTTAAGCTCAACACCATAAAATGAAGGTCCAATGCGTTCCAACTCATCGAACTCTAACAACTCAAGATGCCGCAGGAGTTTCAGTTGGCCAAGTGATGGAATTTCTTTGCACTTTTTGCAGCCACTTAATTCCAACTTGACCAAATTTGGTAGAAATTCTTCATTGAACCATGAAGGAAATCTACTCCCCAAATAGCCCCTCACTTTAAAGGTTTTCAAGTTAGGATGCGGTTGAAGACCATCCAAAACAGACTCGTCATCGATTTCACATCCATGATTGGACCATGAATATGCCAGCTCGTAGGTTTCTCCTGTAGGTATCCTCTTCCCGCTTCTTCTCTATTAGGGACCAATTGCAGACCCACGATCGTCAGTTTACCTCTAAGGTTTTTCAAATGACCTAATTCTTCTATTCGACGACCTTTCTCTACACCCACATTGAAATGCTGTAGCGTTTGAAGACAAGTCAATTTCCCCATGTTAAGTATTTGACAATGAGAGTCGTAATATATGTGTCGCAAACTAATCATGTGTTCCGTCTCATCTGGAAACTCCTGGAGGTCATCGCAGTGATAGACTCTAAGCGTTTGCAAATTGTAGAGCTTGCAAATGGAGTTGGGTAAGGCTTCGATGTCAGTGAAAGAGAGATCAAGATATCTCAAGTATATTAACTTGCCGATTGAGGCTGACAACTCCTTGATGCCTGACTGGGACAAATTTAAAACTCTCAAGAACTGAAATCTCAATAGCAGATCTTCAGACATATCACTGATTTTCCAGAACAATGTGCATAAACGTCCGGGCTCATTAATCTTCTCTATTTGATCTCTTGGTGAGTTCCATCCAAAGTATCGAACTTGAGAAAGATTATCTCCACCATCCGTCTTCGCATCAAATAGTTTAGATTTTAAAATATCTTCAGCCAAATCATGCACAAGATCATGCATCTTACAATGTGTTATATTGTTGTGCTCATCTAGCTCAACATCTTGCAGCAAGGAATTTTGCAACAAAATTTGAAAAAACTTGTTGCCGACGTCTTCCATCAAGGTGGTCTCTTGACAAGGACGAAGATATCCTTCTGCCATCCAGAGTTGGATTAGTTGGTCCTTTTCAAACTCAAAATCTTTTGGAAACATTGCAAAGTAAGCAAAACATTTTTTCAGATGTGGAAATGGTAGATAATCATAACTGAGTTTTAGGATTTTTTTAATCCTATTTTCCCTAGTATCATCTTCACCCGCAACAAGGAGATTGCCCTCAAGAATTGTCTGCCATTCATGTTTCTCCTTATTGCGTAATAGGCCTCCCAACACACTTGCTGCCAATGGTAGACCTTTACACATTTCAACAATCTTGTTATGCATGCTCACTAATTCCTCTGTAACCTCCCCATCAACAAATGCTCTTTGTTTGAAAATGGACCAACAATGATCATCTGTTAAATTTTTCAACTTATGAGGATCTGCTGCTACTGAGGATGCCACCTGATCCCTACGAGTAGTCACAAGAATGCAGTTTCCTCTGAATGTATTTATTCCTCTCAGAGTGTCCACAAACTCATGCCACAATGTAGGGTCGACATGCCACAAATCATCCAGGACAAGCAAATACTTCTTCCCTCTCAATTCATCTTGTAGCTTCTTGACTATTGTATCCCTGCTTCGGACCTCAAGTGTCCTTTCCGTCAATGATTCGAGCATCAATTCAAGAAAGCTCTTAGTTTCTAACATTTCAGGTAGACACAACCAGACTCTCTTTTCAAACTGTTGCTTGATCTGTTCATCATTAAAAATTCTCTTTGCCACAGTTGTTTTGCCTAAACCTCCCATACCGACTATGGGAATGGTGCACAGAACAACATCCTCTCTCATGTTCAACATCTTCTCCTTTATTTCAGCAACATCCTGGTCTCTACCAACAACATCAGAAGCAACTACCACAGAATCTGTCTCTCGAATTGGTAGTATTTGGCGAGAAGGACCTGTTGGGGGTTGGAGACCGAGGTCTTTGGCTAACTTATTGATAGCACTCAACTCTTCATTGATGTTTTTGATTTTTCGAGACATTTTGCACTTTAAAACTGTATTAGAAACGAAGTTACAGACCTTATTCGTCGGTTTGTTCCGGATCTTCATAACTTCTGCTTTGAGAGATTCATATCTGAATTCGTCAAACACATTTTCGGCATCTTCAGCAACTTTCTCAAGCATCTTGAGCCATTCTTCCACAGTCTGATCCTCAACTTGTCGTCTTTCAGCGTCATGAATGAAAGCTTGTATCATCGTTACAGTTTTTTTCAGCATTTTGAGGTCTTTCTTGCAGTTCTTTAAACTTTTGACTTCCTCAATAGTGAGAGAAAGCAGCTTCTCAAGAAAAACTTGAACAGTAGCACCAATTACAGGATCCGCCATTGTTGCTTTGCTCTTTCACAAAGTTTTCTTCCTCTACACCAAAGTCTTCACAAAGTTATTCTCAAGTCTGCTTTGCTAGTTGTTTGTAAACCCCACAAATAAAGATACTCCAATATAGACAATAATTCAAACAGTATTTTTATAATTATGGTAGTTACTAGTCGATATTATTGCATGTCATTTAATTTATGGTTATATTTAGATAATTATTTATGCGATTTCTGCTAGAGTCACTAATGCTCTTTTGTTTTTCTTTTCCCCTTTCTTTTTCTTTCTCTCCTGAGCCGAGGGTCGATTGGAAACAGCCCCTCTGCCCTTTCGGGTAGGGGTAAGGCATGTGTACGTATTACCCTCCCAGACCCAACTTTGTGGGACTATATTGGGTAGTTGTTGTTATTTTTATAAAGGAAAAAGGGGCAGATATACCCCTCTACTACTTTAGTATATTGTTCACATCTAAACTACATTATACTATTCGGACATATCTACCCTTAACATTAGCCGAACTTTTTAAAAATACCTTCACTTAACGAAAAACCACCAAATTAATAAAATAATCATTTAATTTTTTTTTTTTACCCATAATCCATTAAACCCATCATTTAAAAATTCAAAACCTAAATTTCTGCGATGTCTTAGTACATTTTATTTATTTAGAAAGAGACCGAGAATGAAGTGAAGTTGAATTAATAAATTTCTCAATCATTTGTTTTTTCAAATAAGTCTTCAAAGTGTAATACGTATATATATTAAGTAATACGTACATGTGATGTGTACTTTTTTGTACCAGGGGAGTATATCAAATAATAAATATATAATAACTCTAGTTTTCTTTATGTCATTTTATGTCCACGATTTTGTTCGATTTTTTGAATGTATATTTTATTTTTAATGGCTATTAGTAAAAGGAAAGAAAAACAAAAGTTTACTGCTACTACTTAATAGTTGTTTGAAAAATCATACTCCCTCCGTTCATTTTTACTTGTCCACTAAATTAAAATTAATTTTTACTTGTCCATTGTACTTAAATCAAGATAAAGATAATTTTTTTCTATTTTACCCTTATCATTAATTACTCATCCCCAAATTATTTTTCAAGACTTTTGGAAATACTATCATTACTATGAATAAAATTATAAAATACATACTTCATGTATTTTTTCTTAAAGAAAGTGTAAAGTTAAAAGTGGACATTTAAAGTGAACGGAGGAGTAACACTTTCCTCATCCGTTCCAGAATAAAATATTTATAACTAAAATCACCTACTCAAAAAATAAAAATAAAATAAAAAAAGACAAAAGGAAAAGGACGAAATGCAAATCGAGAAAAGGAAAAAGAAAAAGAAAAAGAAAGATGAATTGGGAAACAAACCTGACCAAAACTAAAAGAAAAAGTTATAGACGAGTTGTTAGACCTTTAATCAAAGTTTTGTTCTTTTACGCTTTATTTCATATTATTATTGGGCATTTGTATCTATACCCGTTTTTTGGGTCACGTTTTAACTTGTGCTCGTTTTGCAAAAAAAATTACAAGCGTATCCACTTTTTCGCGTAACTTTAGCTTACGGGGCTGAAGTAGCAAAGGCAATCACGCAAAACTTCAGCATTCTAGTATACGGGCCTGAAGTAGCAAGTGTGCTAAACCAAGTGTGCTGAAGTTTTTGTTTGTAATTGCCGAACTTAAGCATAGTAGCTGANGCTGAAGTAGCAAAGGCAATCACGCAAAACTTCAGCATTCTAGTATACGGGCCTGAAGTAGCAAGTGTGCTAAACCAAGTGTGCTGAAGTTTTGCGTGATTGCCTTTGCTACTNACCAATCGAACCTGCCGCTTCCAACGGGCACAGGTTCATCTTAGTGGCAATCGACTATTTCACCAAATGGATCGAAGCAGCATCTTACAAAGCAGTAACTAAGAAAGTCGTGGCAGACTTTGTCCGCGACCGTATTGTTTGTCGATTCGGTATCCCAGAGTCAATCATTACTGATAATGGCTCCAACCTCAACAGTGACTTGATGAAAGCTATGTGTGAGACCTTCATGCATAGTAACTGAAGTTTTGTTCTCTATTTGCTGAAGTTTTTGTTTGTAATTGCTGAACTTAAGCATAGTAGCTGAAGTTTTATTCTCTATTTGCTGAAGTTTTTGTTTGTAATTGCTGAACTTAAGCATAGTAGCTGAAGTTTTGTTCTCTATTTGCTGAAGTTTTTATTTGTAATTGCTCTAAATAAGCTGAAGTTTTTTTGGTCCTGGATTCATTAGTTTTGTCATGCTTTTTCAAAAACTTCAACAGAAGATGCTGAAGTTATTATTTTCATTTATAAAAACTTCAGTACTAAATAAGCTGAAATTTTTTTCGTCCTGAATAAGCCTTTTCAAAAACTTCAGCAGAAGATGCTGAAGTTATTTAGTTCATTTGTAAAAATTTCAGCACTAAATAAGCTGAAGTTCTTTTGTCCTGGATTCATTAGTTTTGTCATAAAGCTTGTTCAAAAACTTCAGCAGAAGATGCTAAAGTTATTTAGTTCATTTGTAAAAACTTCAGCACTAAATAAGCTGAAGTTTTTTTTGTCCTGGATTCATTAGTTTTGTTATAATGAGACTACTATAAAATAATCAGATTGCCAACAGTATCTAAATCATAAAATTTTGGAAACAAATAAACGTGAAAAGAACAGAAGTATCATGAAAAGAATCACTAAGTGTGACCTTAAACTTCCCGTACGTGAAAATATTCACAAATTATTGTCTACTAACTTACGTAATTATTTATAATTTATTTTTAAATATCTGATAAACATACTTATGGCAATCATCCCATGAACTGAAGTTTCATAGCAGCACCAACAACAGTAGAAGAAAGAAGAAGAAGAAGAAGAAGAAGAAGAAGAAGAAGAAGAAGAAGAAGAAGAAGAAGAAGAAGAAGAAGAAGAAGAAGGAGAAGGAGGAGGAGGAGGATAAGGAGGAGCAGAAAGGGGCTGAAGTTGTTTAAAAAGTGGCTCAAACTTAAAGTGCTTATAAGCTGAAATTTGATAAGTTGGGGGAGACCAACTTATGGCTTTTGGCTTATAAGCACTTAACTTATAAGCACTTTTAATTTTACCAAACGAGTAAATAAGCCAAAAAGTGCTTATAAGCCAGTTTGATCAGCTTATAAGCTTAGCCAAACACCCTCTAAAACTTTTAAAAAAAAAATGGGTATAGGTTAAATGGGGCGACCAAATAGGGCTGAAGGAGGATAAGGAGGAGGAGAAAGGGGCTGAAGTTGTTTAAAAAGTAGGTACAAATTAAAACTTTTAAAAAAATAGGTATAGGTTAAATGGGGCGACCAAATAAGACGCCCTGTGCAATTTTTACTATTATTGTTGTCTTTTAGAATACTTGGATTGGATTGCTTCTTTCAACAACTATTACTTTTAAAGAAAAGGTAATACAATTTACAGACGAGAAGTTGCAGAAATTGTGAATTTGCTCGTTAAATAGGTTTGTAGTCACGAGTTATGTTTGGGTTGTGTTACGGGTGAACTTGGGCTAGTGGCTTAATGGTGGGTCAACTTGGGCATCGCCCATCTTAGCCCATCAATAAAATAGTTCTTTCCCAAACCCATTAAATCTTAGACGGGTTGGAACGGTAATTGAGTTTGTGCTCAAATTGCCACCCCAACTTTTACAAGAAAATTTTGAAATTCTCCAATTTCATTTTAAATAGGCAACCCCCAAGAAACAAGCTTAAAACGTTTATCTTATACCTCGTGCGTCACATATTGATTTTTACCTGAAAAATACTCCCTATGTCCCTTTATGTGGCGGAGTTTGAATTTCAAGAGTCAATTTCTTAATTTTGATTGTGAGTTGAGACATAAAATCTTTAAGTTTTTGAAAACAAAATAGATATATTTGAAAACTACCTAAAAGTATTATAAGCCACAATAATTAATAATTCAAAAATAATTACAGTTAAATATAAACTTGTTTGACTCTCAAAATCTAAACTCTGTCACATAAGTTGGGACAGAGAGTACATATTGAAGCATTAATGGGAAGAACTTCACATTTTCGTGTATATCTTGGATTTTGGTTATGGACAATACTGTATAACTAGTTACATCTATGGATACTACCTAGTCGCTAGTGAATTGAGGAAGATACAATGTACGATTTGGAGAAATATGGAGCGTAAATATTATTTTGCCAATATTATAATCCTATATTTTAAGGGGTTGTTTGTTTGAAGGGATAAGATAATCCCAGATAAAAAGTGAGATTATGTTTGACGGTATAAGTACCTGAGATTATTTATACTATTGTTTACCTCGAAATACGAGTAACAATTAAATTTATAATGTAATTTTAAGAATAAGTGATCTAATTCAATACCAATTTATAAATAACGAACTAAATAAACGAATTGAACGGTAAAGACAAATCAAACCGGTATTGCAGCTATATATCGACCTCGATATCTGCTTTGCTAGTTGCGTGTAAACCACTCAAATAAAGATACTCCAATATAATTCATAGACAATAAATTAAACAGTCTTTGGGCAGAGTTTGGGCGGGTCAAACTAGACTAACTTATTATTATCAACCCAACCCAAAATTTACCTGAGCTAAAATGGGCTGGGTCAAAGATTAACCAAACTATCGGGGGAAGTGCACGGTTAGCCACTAATAACACGTGTATTTACTTTTAAGCCACTGTTTAAAATGTCTTTAGTCTTTAGCTACTACTTAATAAACTTTACTTGCCCGGACGAAAACACCCTTCTGCTCATAAAAGTTCAGGACCAAGTGCCCTTAACTTTTGAATTTGCAACTCTAAGTTCAGGACTTCAGGACTACATGTCCTTAATTTTTGAACTTGCAACTCTAAGTTCAGGACTTCAGGACTACATGTCCTTAACTTTTGAACTTGGAACTCGAAGTTCAGACCACCTGTCCTTAAGTTATGTGCTTGTAACTCTACGTTAAGGACTACTTGTCCTTAACTTTTGAACTTGTAAGTCTAAGTTCATGACCTATTTTCCTTAGCTTTTGAGCATGTTAGTCTAAGTTCAGGACCAAGTGTCCTTAACTTTTGAACTTGTAACTGTAAGTTCGG